GGATAATCAAGTAAGTTAAAAGGTATATTTGTGCAACAAATGTATATTTCAATACTTTAGGTTAGTTTGATTCAAATAAATACTACTTACTTTGTAGTTTATAATATGTATATAATTATTATAAAGAGTGTGCATGTGTGCATATATGTGCATGTATATTTACATGCAGGTATATTATACAACATGCAACAAATGTTACAGTGTAAGAGTTATGTGGTAGTATAAAGATCCCACTATTGAAACTTTGGATAAAAGCTATGGTGACGGTGCTGAATCTTATCTTCATAATATTACTAATGGTTTTTTGGTCTCTATGGTACATGTTACATCTAATATCATAATCTGATCCCCTTTTTAAACTGGTTGTCTAGAAAAGCAAATTTTTTTTCTTCTGTATTGAACCTGTTGTGAATTTTATAATTTAACCCTTCCACAGTGTAATAAATTAACAGAAAAGTAACTGAATGATCAAATATTCAGTACAATTAAGAATTTTACAGATTCTGTATATCATAAAGTTAAGGGAACTTCATGCTTGATCAGTCCATAGGATTCATAATCGATGAAATAGTCACCACTTAGAGATAAATATTATTTTGTGTAAAAATATGCTAAATTCTCTAAAATTAATGACACCAGAAGTAGTAATAGAGAAATATATTCAGATGGAAAGTTGATTTCATACTGATTCTAAAGGTCAGTGACACTTTTACATGTAGAAAATATAACAAAATATGGCCACATAGGCTATACTGTGAAAAGGTTAAATAGAATTTGTTATTGGAGTATTAGTACAACAGTTGATTGTTTCAAAATTTTACTTTTCTAGTAACTAGTACTTTTTACAGCAGTTAAAGTAATTAGGGATTATTTTTAATGTAAATGTCTATTCTCAGATTACATAACAAACACAGATATGTTTGATCTTGAAAATGATCTACCTGACGATCTGTTGGCAACACCATCTTGGGGTTCTGCAACTGAAAGTGCTAAACCGCCAGCTACAGGACCAGGGCCAGGGCAGCAGAATGGTGCCCTTGATTCAGAACTTCGACAACATGTACAACAACAGCAGCAACAACTTCCACATCATTTAATACAACAACAAGTTTGTACTTGTGATATATATATATAAATATAGATGCATATGTATACAAATCAAAGATAAAGTTTTGTTTCTTGTTATTTAACTTCAATGATTTTTCAAACAGGGCAACAAAAATTTGGTTACTAATTCTTTAGTAATGGCTGCTGGAACTTTGGGTAACAAAAGTCCAAATATGCAATCTCCACCAAATGTTTCTGTCTCTAAAGTAGTTGATCCACAAATGGTTGTGAGTCTGGGAAATTTACCAAGTAGCATAGCCAGTTCATTGGCAAACAATCAAATGTCTATTGCAAATTCTATGGGAGGTCTTCAATCATCAATGAGCATGGCTGGAAACAATCCTACCATGTCAATGCCAGGTGGAATGAATTCTGGCCTAGTTATGACCAGCAGTGCTAGTGGAAATAACAATATGGGTGGAATGGCAGGTGGAAGTTTAATTGTAACCAACAGTTTGAACAAACAACCTTTAAATACTGTAAGTTTTATTCAATTTAAGGTCATGTAATATGAAATGTCTTAAATACAAACAACATTTTACCTACATTTTTGTGAAATGATTGCCTTTGAACTTGCAAAACGACATTTCACCATGCATGACCATAATATTTGACAAATGTTATACTTTTATATGATTTATAACCTGGAACTTCTTTTCTTAGGTGATGGGTCCTAATACTCAAGGAATTCATCATCCTAGTGGACCACATGGTGTTCCTCAAATGCAAAATGGGCCAGGAATAATGAACACTAGAGCAGTAGCAATGCAACAACAACAGCAGGCTCATATGGTTGGTCCTACAAGAGGGCAAAGTCCACACCAACAAGTACATCAAGTTGGTATTGTTGGTACTGGCCAGGGAGGTCCGCGAATGCAAGCTCCTCCAAACATGGCAAATATGCCAAACATGGGACAAATTGGTGCATCCACTCCTTATGGTTATGGTAATTATTTTAATTATATAGGGTTATTAGTATTTACAAAATGATTTACACAACTATTACGTTACATGTATTTCTACAAATGTAGCGATCTTTGAATCATTCATCATTTTCTCCAAGACCTTTTGCATTCTACCGAGAAAAGAGCTATTGTTTGTAACAGTTGCAGGAATCTTTTGGTATAGTAATATTAAATTATGATATTTTTTCACAGCATCTCCAGGTAGTGGACCAGGACCTGGTGTTACAGTATGTACAAATAGTCCTGTTGGAGTTGTTACACCGCAACAGAAAGGAGTAGGAACAAATATGACTGCCATGCAAGTTGCTGGTAGATTTGGAGGAAACACAGGTCCCATTGGTTCTGCTACTGTTGTGGGTGGCCAAGAAGGTACTATGGCACAACAAGCACAACCACCTGCTCCGAGTCCAGCTCAAACTCAAGCTGGTGCGCCAACAGGAGTTCAACTTGGTTCACAACAAGCTACTCAGGGCCAAATAACCGGTACCGGTGCTCCAACTGGTAAGCATACATTTTTGAAAATCGAAAAACGTTTTCGAAAGATCAACTAGTTAAACAAAATTGTTCTATTATCAGGTGCTACGAAGTCAACTGCTGATCCCGAAAAGCGTAAACTTATTCAACAGCAGCTAGTTCTTTTGCTTCATGCGCATAAGTGTCAACGCCGTGAAACCCAAGCGAATAATGGCGATGTTCGACATTGTACGCTGCCAGATTGCAAAACGATGAAAAACGTTTTAAACCATATGACCGCCTGCCAAGCAGGGAAAACTTGCATGGTGCCACATTGTAGCTCCTCTAGACAGATTATTAGTCATTGGAAACATTGTAATCGCAACGACTGTCCAGTGTGCTTGCCCCTAAAACAAGCGAATAAGAACAAAACCACAAACGCTGCTGCCGCTTCCACATCACAACCAAATAGTCAACCAAATCCAAGTCCAACTGAGGTAAAAAGAGCATACGATGCTTTGGGTATTCAATGTCCCACAACAACACCTGGCTTGGTGCCTGCTTCGTGTGTTACGAGAAGAATACCAGCACCAGGTATGCAAGGAGGGACTGGTACAATAGGAAGCGTGAGGCTAGTTCAACCTCCAACTCAAACTGCTCCTGGCCAGTCCGTGGTTGGTGCTGGACAGCAAGTAGTCGCACCAAATGTATCTCTTCCTTTAAATTCTGATCCTAACACTGTAGGTGTTGCCGGTAATCAGACTGCGTCCACCAGCGGAGCAACGCCTGCTGCTGCGGCGGCTCCTGCAAATATACAGCAATCTGTTAATGTACATCAGTTATTCGGTTTGAACGATTCCGGACAACTCAGTGTCGCGGCCGAAAATAGATTAGCTAGTCCTCAGCTTCCGGTTGGAGCTCAACAGAATCAAGTAACAGCAACACCGATGCAAGAAACTAAGGACTGGCATTTGACTGTAACTCCAGATCTTAGAAATCATCTTGTTCATAAATTGGTTCAAGCCATATTTCCCACTCCGGACCCAAATGCTATGCTTGACAAGAGAATGTACAATTTAGTCTCGTACGCGAGAAAAGTTGAAGGTGACATGTACGAGATGGCTAATTCCCGATCAGAGTATTACCATTTACTTGCTGAGAAAATATATAAAATTCAGAAAGAGTTAGAGGAGAAGCGACAGAAACGAAAAGAACAGCAACAACAGTTACAGGCGCAGCAGCAGCAGCAGCCTCAACCAGGGTCATCTGGAGCAGCTGGTCCGAGTTTGAGGCCGTGCGCTCCACCCGGTGTGGGAACTGTTCCACCGTCACGACCGGTTGGAACGGTTACTCCTAGCTTACGTAGTCATTCACCAAGCATGTCTCAACTTGGAAATTTACCTGCAATAAGCATTCCACACAATAGAATGCAGTTTCCTCAGCAACAACAGGCGCAACAGCAACAAGCGCAACAACAACAGGTACAAGTTCAAGCCCAAACCAAAGTCCAGGCTCAAGCACAAGCCCAGACCCAAGCTCAAGCTCAGGCACAAGCTCAGGTTCAACAACAAATGCAACAACAACAACAGCAGCAGCAACAGCAGCAGCAACAACAGCAACAGCAGCAGCAGCAGCAGCAGCAACAACAGCAACAGGGGATTTTAGTTGGCCCACCGGGTCCTAGTCCAAACGGGCAGTCAACCTCCAATCCCAATGTCGTTCCAAATCCCGGTTTGAGTCCATTTGGACAAATGTCACAAGCGAACCTAACAACTACCACTACATCCGCAACAACTAGTCAATTTCCAACCTCGAACGGCACTTCCGGTCTGCCTAACAGTTCTCCTGTACAGAATCAACACCAGTTCACAGACATTATGAAGGTTCGAATGGCGCAGGCTCAAGCAGCGCAAGCTGCGCAAGCTGCAATCGCTCATCAACACCAACAACAACAGCAGCAGCAGCAGCAGCAACAACAGCAGCAACAACAGCAACAGCAACAACAGTCGCAGCAATCAGCGCAATCGCAACCACAGCAGCAACAAAGTCAATCGCAGCCGCAACAACCGACGAGCACTTCGAATCAGAGCGGCGCGACAACGCCGATGCCGCAAGCGCCGTCGCCGTTCAGTATCCAACAGAATAACCAACAACAAAGCCAACAGTTCAGCAACAGTCGACCTCTGTCAGTCTCAACGCCTAGCGACAGCGGCATCAGCACGTCCACTCCTCAAACGATACCACCTCCTGCGTCCAGCGGGCCTAGTCCTGGTCCAACGACGACGGCGAACGGACCTCAATCTACGACTTCCACACCTAATACACCGTTAGTTCCTTCTCTGATGACTCCGAATCAGACAGTTTCATCTGCCAATCAAACACCGCCTCATCCTAGCACTACACCGTCTCCAGCTGGCTTAGCGGGCCTCGGGAAAGGCATGACGTCACAGGAACGAGCCGCTTTGAACGCGCCTAGAACCTTGTCCATATCTTCTCAAATGGCTGCTATCGTGTCTGCCACAGACCGTGATAATTCACCTAGTCCGCCGATGAATAACAATAAGGGAAAGTTGGACTCCATCAAGGAGGAGAGTATGAAGATGGAGATCAAGCAGGAGGACGGTTCTGAGAATCACAGAATGGACGGCGGGAAAAGCGTGAACAACGACGTACCGATCAAAACGGAGATTAAACAGGAACCGATGGAAGAAGGATCCGGCGAGGGTATCGCGAAGGAGGAATCCTGTATCAAGGAAGAACCGGTGACGCCGATGTCTAGTCAGGATACAACGACGCCGGACATCAAACCGTTGGTCCCTGAGCCGATACAACCAAGCGGTACATCGACAGATAAGAAACGGTTGTGCTTATTCAAACCGGACGAGCTGCGGCAAGCGTTGATGCCAACGTTGGAGAAACTGTACCGTCAGGATCCAGAATCTATACCGTTTAGACAGCCGGTCGATCCGCAGGCGTTAGGGATTCCGGATTATTTCGATATCGTTAAGAAACCGATGGATCTATCGACGATCAAAAGGAAATTGGACACGGGTCAGTATAGCGATCCATGGGAATATGTTGACGACGTGTGGATGATGTTTGATAACGCGTGGCTATATAATCGTAAGACGTCGCGAGTGTACAGATACTGTACAAAGGTACGTATTCAAGGAATTCTTAGTAACTACGTCGCGAATCTTTATGCGAATTTCTGTTTTCATAGAGCATCGTATAAAAGTCAAAATTATGGATAATTTCTTTCCACCGACTAGAAGATAATTTCCCGGCAAAAATAGAATGAGAATACCATTAATTCTTCTTCGCATCCACGATTCCTTGTACTTTACATGTTCGTACACGAGGCGCACGCATAAAGATCAGCAGTTTATTAATAACTTTTAAATTTCGATGATCGAATCTTGGATGATCAATTGTATATTGGTTTCAGCTTTCGGAAGTTTTCGAGCAAGAGATAGATCCAGTGATGCAGGCCCTGGGCTATTGTTGCGGCAGAAAATACACATTTAATCCACAAGTTTTGTGTTGTTACGGGAAACAACTCTGTACGATACCCAGGGATGCGAAGTACTACTCCTATCAGAACAGGTCAGTGTGTGAAAAGGTCTCGCAAGGAACGTTCCCCAATTGTGACCCATTAGTTTTGATGAAACTCTGTATACATGTAAATTCTGTGAAAATATTCGAGACGTTATTACACATTGTATAAAAATGTCTAACTGTTTTGATACTTGGAAATAGTAGCTACAAATATGAATTAAATAGTTTCATTCTCTTACTGGAAAAAGATACATGGTGAAGATTTTCACAATCTCTGTTGTACATGGTTTCATAAAAGTCCGATGCATCACAATTGGATGATGTTACTTGTTTGTCAAACGACCATCCGCGACAAACAAATTTATTTAATACTTGACGAAAAGATAGTTTGCATGATGGGAATACGCTGTGTAGGTTTCCTTTTTTAAATCTCCATCTTGCCAGTCGACAACTATTTAGTTAACTAAATATCATAGTAACGACTTTTCTTGCCCCCCGACTGTCTTCGAAATGTATTGATAAATTTGACCTCTATTAAATTCGAAAGGGGAAAAAGTTGAAATTGTCTGCCAAGGGCGTATTCGACCTCGTATGGTGCATTTTTATCAATGAAAAATGTTCTACAACCGAATACGCCAGATTAAATTGGCAGGCTAATTAGCCTGCTTCGGTCGCAGCAGCCGATGCAGGCCAGTCTCCTGACCTACACGTTTCTTTTTCCCCAAACTTCATTATATCTTTTTACATTACAATTATAATATGTTTATCAACGATTATATTTTTACGTGAAACTCGCACAAAAAAAATTTACATTTTTTAATGTGCATATACTTAAGGGATATATAGTATATATAGTGGCTCATATTGTAGTTAGTGTTCAAGAGTTGGACATCTTTTTTTTAGATAACAGTTTAGTACATTGTACTCGAATAATGTACCATAGTAGTGAGCACTAGTTAACAAAGAAAAACAACGTTTGTAACCCTTGGGTATATGTAATTAAGTATTTCATGTATATAATGTATATTTATATATATGTATATATATATATATTTCGTGTCTAACGATGGCACTCTTCTCTTCTTTGTATGTTACCTTCGCTCTACCCATGGGTTGCGCACGCACACACAAAATCCTTGTTTGCTGCTTGCTTCTTGTGTTGCCCGCGCCCCTTGCTTCTTTCCAACTCTACTACTTCGTGCCACGAAAATTGGTTCTTGGAAATATGGGACAATCGAAATTGGATACCTGATGTCGTGAATTGAAAACGAACTAAAAAAATATATATATAATTGCGATAAATGAATATATAACGGAAACCAAAAACTAAAAACACGGCAACTCTCTGCAACTTTTGGAATCGAAACTATAAAAAACGAAACGGACTTGAATACGTATAAATAAATATGTATATACAATTGGCAAACATATTACTATTTGCATGTGTATAATCGGAAAAATAAACACTTATCAAAATTGGACTTTCGACATTTGGATACATCAATTGGGGTGTGACAAAAAATATACATGTATATTGATCTTCGTATCATGCACGCATGACATTGACGAATTGAAATTCGGATCTAAAAAACTATTGGAACACAACAGTCTAAAGGCATATGGTCTTGTTTCCGACAGATACACCTTCTGTCAGAAATGTTTCAACGACATTCCTGGTGACACTGTGACGTTGGGAGACGATCCAACGCAACCTCAAACGTAAGTATTCGAACCGTGATAATACTTACTGCAATAAACCTTTCTTCTCTTTTGGTTCAGCGGACGGGTTACACAAATTACTACATTTCATTTCAGTGCCATTAAAAAGGAACAGTTCCAGGAAATGAAGAATGATCACTTGGAATTGGAGCCTTTTGTTGTGTGCACAGATTGTGGCAGAAAAGTACATCAAATCTGCGTGCTTCATATGGAATCTATCTGGCCATTAGGGTAAACATAAATGTTCATTTATGCAGTAACAGCTTCTCTAAAGTTTTCTAATCAAATAAAAAAGTTTATTGGATTGTATAAGCTTCTATAAGATAACATTTTCTTTATGTATAGGTTCACTTGTGATAACTGCTTGAAGAAAAAAGGACAGAAGCGTAAAGAGAACAAGTTCAACGCTAAGCGTTTACCAGTCACTAAATTAGGCACTTACATAGAGACGCGAGTAAACAACTTCTTGAAGAAGAAAGAAGCTGGTGCTGGCGAAGTTGCAATTAGAGTTGTGGCGTCCAGTGACAAAGTAGTGGAAGTGAAGCCTGGCATGAGAAGTAGATTTGTGGAGAACGGTGACATGCCCGGCGAGTTTCCTTACAGGGCGAAAGCATTATTTGCATTTGAAGAGGTCGATGGCACGGACGTGTGTTTTTTCGGCATGCATGTGCAGGAATATGGCAGCGAATGTACTCCACCTAACACTAGAAGGGTCTATATCGCGTACTTGGATTCTGTACACTTTTTCCGGCCTAGACAGTTTCGTACAGCAGTTTACCATGAGATACTTCTTGGGTATTTAGACTACGCGAAGCAGCTTGGGTAAGTAGAAAGTTACTTTTGAGTACAGAACCGCCTATACGTCTTGTTAAGCTAAAAACAAAATAAAAATGATATGCGATTTAAATACTTCTACTTATACATCACGATATTTACAGTTTATTCATGACCGATATTTTCGTCGTATACTTTGAACACTGAATAATGTCCCTCGAACAATTTGTTGCGCAGATATACCATGGCTCATATTTGGGCTTGTCCACCTTCTGAAGGAGATGATTACATCTTTCACTGCCACCCTCAGGAGCAAAAAATTCCAAAGCCTAAAAGATTGCAAGAATGGTACAAGAAAATGCTGGACAAAGGCATGGTCGAAAGGATCGTACTGGATTATAAAGTTAGTATCAGCAGTTTGATTCAATAAGGTCATATACGTCAGATCAGGACCAACCAAACCCTTTAAGCAGCATTAAGAGACTAGAAAAGTCAGCGAGCACCGTGGCTATGGTGGTTAAAGCAGAGCGATTAGTCGACGAATCTAAAGAGCGTGGGTTCGAATCCCACTGATGTGACCTTCATTTTTCCTAGGACTCTTTCATATAAATAAAATAATACAGTCTCAAGTGTTACCTGAGAGTTGACCCCCTTACTCTTGGGTGTCAAAGAAGACTAAAATTAACGTCTGCACATAAGCTAATGTTCTTAGAGAGTATGTAAATTTGAACATAGGATAAGCAGGCGACAATTAAAAATATTTTCTTTTGCTTACGGTCTGTTAATATAATTTAGATTAAAAATTATTTTCGTTGTTTCCTTAATTATAGGATATTTTAAAACAAGCAATGGAAGACAAGCTTTCATCAGCCGCCGATTTACCATATTTTGAAGGTGATTTCTGGCCCAATGTTTTAGAAGAAAGTATCAAAGAATTAGATCAAGAAGAAGAAGAGAAACGTAAACAGGCAGAAGCTGCGGAAGCTGCTGCTGCTAATGCGGTAAGTGGATTAATGACTAATGACTAGTGTAGATTAATAATAATAATAATTAGCTTTCGATTAAGATTCCACCAATAACTTATAAACAGTTGTGTACTTTTCTTCACGGATGTTAATTTCTAGTTTATAATTTCATTCTAGATTTTTTCAATGTCGGAAGATTCTGAGACAGGTCCGGATGGCAAGAAAAAGGGTCAGAAAAAGGCGAAAAAGTCGAACAAATCCAAAGCAAATCAAAGAAAGAATAGTAAAAAATCTAATACTCCGCAAACAGGGAACGATCTCTCTGCAAAAATTTTTGCAACCATGGAGAAACATAAAGAAGTATTCTTTGTTATCAGGTTGCATAGCGCTCAAAGTGCAGCCAGTTTAGCAGTAAGCAATCAGAATTGTTTTGTAACATGTTGGAATGGAATATACTATTGTGTACTAATATACGTTAACAATACTTATTGTAGCCGATTCAGGATCCTGACCCCGTTATTAATTGTGACCTCATGGATGGTCGCGATGCTTTTCTCACAATGGCTAGAGAAAGACATTACGAGTTCTCTTCCTTAAGACGCGCGAAGTTTAGTTCTATGTCTATGTTGTACGAACTGCACAACCAAGGCCAAGACAAATTTGTTTATACTTGTAATAATTGTAAGAGTCATGTAGAAACGAGGTATCACTGTACGGTTTGTGATGTAAGTATAAAAAAATCTATTCCTTTTTTCCCTGACATATGTTTGTTCCCATTATACGAGGAATTTAATATTATTTATATGAACAGGACTTTGACCTATGTATAAGTTGTAAAGAAAAAGATGGTCATCCTCATCATATGGAGAAACTTGGTTTAGATTTGGATGATGGTTCATCGCCGGCCGATGCCAAGCAACAAAATCCACAGGTAAACAACAATTTCTCGATGCTCGTTATATATTACACAATTGATAATGTAAGAGATGTATTAAATAATTATTTTCATAAATTATTCAATAGGAGGCGCGTAAACTATCGATACAAAGATGTATTCAGTCATTGGTACACGCGTGCCAGTGTAGAGACGCTAATTGTCGATTACCTAGTTGCCAGAAGATGAAGAGAGTAGTAACGCATACAAAGATTTGTAAACGAAAAACGAACGGTGGTTGTCCAATATGTAAACAATTGATTGCATTGTGCTGTTACCATGCTAAACACTGCCAAGAGACTAAATGTCTTGTCCCATTCTGTTCAAATATCAAACACAAGTTGAAGCAACAACAGCTTCAGCAAAGGTTACAGCAAGCGCAATTATTAAGGTAAGCAGTCGTTACCAATAGCATTGATTTCATTAAATTGTAACAGAGTTTCAAAAATACATTTTCAATCGTTGCATTTTTTTCTTTGCAGAAGAAGAATGGCTGTGATGAATACGAGACCAACAGGTGCAGTTGGGGCGATGCAAAGTGGACAGCAGACTTCCAATGTTACTATGCCAACTGGTGTCGCCATGAAACCAGGTGTCAGTCCTACCAATTTACCTTCACCGCATCAACCTGGAATAGGGTTGAAACCTGGAACGCAAACACCACCCGCTCATGTCCTCCAAGTCGTTAAGCAAGTACAAGAAGAAGCTGCGAGACAACAGGCGCCGCATGTTGGCTACGGCAAGGTAACGCCAGGCGGTGGAGTCGGCGTTGGAGTAGGTGTGGCAGGACAAACGGGTGGAGTGATGCCTCCGCCACAAATGCAACGACCAATGCCCGTCCAAATGCCAAACCCTGGCGGTACTCATCTCATTCCAATGGACCAGTGGACGCCAAGGTATGATTCCGTTTGGAAATAAGCAAAACGATAATACTTATGATTTACATTTTGCCAAGTTGCCAGTTAAAAAGTCTTTTCGACAAATATGTGTACGTTTTATAAACATGTTTGAATGCGTAGTAGGTATCAGCCGAACGCAGTGATGCAACAGAATCCTGGTTTAAGGCAACAAACGCCGCAACAGTTAATGCAGCAGCAACAACAACATCAGGGACAGCCAGTGATTGGAATGGGAGGACAGATGCCCAGACAGCCTGGTATTATCGGCGGTCCGGTTAGCCAGGTTGGGTCACAGGCTCAAAATACCGCCATGCACAAACAAGTGCTACAGCAACTTATGCAAACTCTCAAGAATCCCCATACGCCCGAGCAACAGAACCAAATACTTCAAATACTCAAAAGCAATCCACCAATAATGGCTGCCTTCATCAAGCAACGGGTATGCCGCTGATTGATTCTTTTTATTTTATCATGTCTATTATCCTCGATCCTCTACGACGATTTCTTTGATCGTATAATTTTGTCTAAATTAAAAAGGCGCTGCAGCAGCAAACCGGTCAATACGGAGGAGGAGTCGCCGGACCGTTAGGTCCTAATCAGCCTCAACAGCAACCAAGTTTGCAGCATATGATGTCTCAACAACAGCAGCAGCAACACCAACAACAGCAGCAGCAGCATCAACAGCAGCAACAACAACCAGGCAGAATGCAAATACAAGCAATGTTGAATCAACAGCAACAACAGCAGCAGCAGCAACAGCAACAGCCTGTTCAGCAGCAGTCACAGTGGTATAAACAGCAAATGATGGCGATGCAAAGGCAGCAGGCGCAACAGCAGCAGCAGCAACAACAGCAACAGCAACA